AGGGAAGGGGATTGCTGGCTGGGGGGGTGTGCAGCCAGGCTGTGTGTAAATGTGTGCAGGGGGGTCATTTCTGTGTTGAACAGGGAAATAGTGAGTGAATCACCCTCAGTTCTGGTCTAAACCACATCTGTTCTGCCTCTGTGCTGGGCTCCAGTCATGAGATGACTTTGAGGTGTAGGCCAGGTAGCTGAAATGTTCAGGGGTTGTGACACCTGAGGACATGTTTTAGTGGTGGACATGGTGGTGGTGCTGGTTGATGGTCGGACTCGATCTTGGAGCTCTTTTCCAACCTGAACAACTCCGTGACTTCAGGGGCGATTTAAGTTATGGCCCTTAGGAGGGATCAGAGGGTGAATGCTCAGCTCATACCCAGCCTGGGCCCAGGGGTCAGCGGGAGGTCACCACTCACAAGCAAATCTTAGAGCTTTTCTGATATTAGGGGGCAAACAGGGCTTGAACTTGTGGTCCTGTGAAGAACAGCTCTGCCTCTTTCTTACATTAATGCTGAGCAGCATAATCTGCTTAGGGAAAGGAGAGTTGCTTTGTTTGTGTTCCTAAATCCTGCCCAAAGGGCCCTTTACATCCTTCGGGCACAGCAGAGCTCTGGGTGTCCCTGTGCTCAGAGTTCTGGGGACATGCTCTTTAAGAAGGTCATCAGAGGTGCTGTATCATCTTCAGAATTTAACAGGCCTCTTTTTCCTTCATCAGCACAAGGAGGTGCTGTCTGGGTTACACACATGGCTTTGCTGGGTGTAGAGGGCAGGGAGGGACAGCAGAGTCTCATCTCAGGGAGAAATACCCCAAAATGCCCTAGGGGTAGGTTTAGAGGGACTTAGGGTTGGATATTAGGAGGAGACTTTTTGAGTGCTCAGCTCAGGCATTGGAATGGACTGCCCAGGGAGGTGGTGCAGTCACCATCCCTGGAGGTGTTTCAGAGGTGTCTGCATGTGGCACTGGAGGACCTGGTTTAGGGTTTAGGGGTTCCAGCAGTGACAGGTTCATGGCTGGACTTGATCTTCGAGGTCTCCTCTAGCCTTGATGGTTCTATGAGTGTCACAGGCAGGAGTGGGAACTGGGAACTGGGAGCTGCTGGGAGTGAGCAAATCCATGCTTACTGCTGTGTTTAGCACCTGAGAGGACTATTGCTGGCTCCTGTCTCAGCTTCAGCTAGAGAAAGGCATCACCTTCTAACTAATCTGTTGTTTTTAGAGTCATAGTTGTGGCATGTGCCTCTACCTTTGGCAGGGGGAGGAGGAACACTCAGCTGCTCCTCAGCCAGGAAAACTGAATCCACTTTTTTCCCACCATCTCCTCCCAGCTTGGCTTTCCTGCCATCTGAAAAAAATGATTTTTCCTCTCTCTGAATGCATAACTGGTTATTTATACACAAACCAGAGAATGTTGACTCAGTGTACCTGACCTAGAAAAAAAGAGATCAGTCAGGACTCTCCCCCCAGATGTGTCACTCACCATGTGATCTCCATATAATTTATAAGCTCTTCAATGACAAAATAATGAAGCTTTTCAGTTAGCACTTTGGCACATGATCAGAGCATGACATTTTATGGGAGAATATCCACCACAGCTCTTGCCCCATAAAACTGCAAACAGAACTCTGCAAGCATTGGCACTGCGTTGGCTTCCAAAAAAGACACCTATTATGCTGGAATTACAGTCAGGCCATGGATGTAGAGCCTGGAGCTTGTCCAGTCCCACACAGTTCTTTGCCCTCTCTCTTCTCCCATTTCCTTAAGAAGCCTAGACAGTGGTTTCAAGCCTAGAATTTTCTTTCTTCTCTTGGATTTAGCTTGGAGCACACACAGAGCAAGAAGGTCTTGCAGGGCTCTTGCAAATGAGGTATTCTGCAGCCACCACATGTGAGAACAGCTCTGGTCCACAAAGCTCCTGAGCTCCACAGAACTCAGGAACCTCATCTTGCTGCTTCTTGCTTTAAAGTGGGAAGAAGCAGCTTTCAAACCAGATTTCCAAGCTGACAGTTGGATGTTGCCCACTGGAAGCTCCCTGTAAACAGGTTTCTCAGCCCTTTGCAGCACTGAATTAATCAGGGTTTGGCCTCAGAGAAGAATATTTACTCAGGTATTTCCCTTGCAAACAGGGAGATGGTTTTTAAGGCACATGTGCAGGGCAGGAGTTGGACTCAATGATCCTTGTGAGTCCCTTCCAGCTCAGGATATTCCATGATTCTAAATACAACTTCAGCTTTTTAGTGAATCCTTCCCACCCTCATTGCTTCTCTCTCCCATCCCTAAAAATGGAGTTTGTTAGTGTCCCTCAGGGCCAGATAGACATGGAGCTCCTGCAGCAGGTCCAGGGGAGGACAAGGAAGATGCTGAAGGGACTGGAGCATCTCAGTGATGAGGAAAAGCTGAGGGAGTTGGGGCTGTTCAGCCTCGCGGAGAGACACTGAGAGGGACCTCAGGAATGGATTCAAGTCCATGAACAGGAGGTGCCAAGAGGATGATCAGACTCTGCTCAGTGGGGGAACCCAACCAAACAAGAGGGAACAGCAGAAACTGCTGCCCAGGAAGTTCCACCTGAACACGAGGAAGAACTTCCGTGCTGTGCAGTCCCTGAGCACTGAGCAGATTGCCCAGAGAGGTCGTGGATTCTCCCTCACTGGAGGTGTTCCAGCACCCTCTGGACACAACCTGAGCCATGTGCTCTGGGCTGGCCCTGCCTGAGCAGGGAGGTGGGACCAGATGACCCTTTGGGGTCCCTTCCAACCTCACTGATCCTGGGATTCTGTGAATTCTTTCTGCTCTCATTCCTTCCCTCTTCCATCCCTAAAAACACAGATCTTTTCTCATTACATACAGCTCTTCACAGCCAGTGAAGATGGAGTGGGATGGAGGTTCCCATTCTCTCACACAGTTTGGGATGTGTCAGAGCTGTTGATGGTTCCACGACCCTCCTCTCTTTGCTGTGGGGTGAAGGATGATGTGCTGCACACAGAAAACTGCCTGGAGGGAATCCTGTTAAATGCCTCTGGCCTCCCTTTGCATTTTGAACCGAAGTTCTGCAAATAGCTTCTCTGAAATCCATAGATTTTATGGCAAGTGTTCAAAGGAGCTCATCTGTCTAAAGAAATCTAGGTCTTAAAAACTCCTCTGAAGAGTTTAGGTCTGGCTGGTGCAGGCAGGAAAGGGACAGAGAATCAGAATAATCAGATTTGAAGGGACCCTTGAGGATCATCTAGTGATCACAGTTGATCTTGGTATCTCATGAGGTTTGATCAGAGCCTTCAGATAAAGAGTTGAGTGGAAAACATCTGTTCAATTAATGCTTTGTCTGCCTTAGGTTTAATCTCTTTTGGAGGTACTTTGAGACTAATTCATTGACTTTATATCAAAACTTGTTAAACAATCACAAGATCTTCTCTTAATCAGGTGCTCTGACACCAATTGCATCTCCAGTGAGGTCACCACTCTGTGCTCCTTCAGCTGCACAAGAGCTTTGCCTTTAGAACTTCCAGACTCCTTTTCCAGGTGATTTTCTAGCCTAGCCCTTCCCAGAAACACTCCCATGTTAATTCCCAGAGATGGAACAGGTCATTAATGAGCTTTTTGCTTCTCCCTGGAGGTGACATTTCAAATAGCTCCATAAATTAAACAGCTTCATCAGACCAAAAAATGGAACTTCTTCTCCCAAAACTGAATTATTATCTTTTCTCTTAATATTTTGTCTCTCCTGCCACCAAACATCTCTTTTTGCCTACTTTAAAAACAATGTTTCACACTCCAGACCTCTCCACACAGCAAATTCCTGTCCTTGGGAAAACCAGGCTGTACATCAACTCTTGCAGCGGGATAAGGAAAAGCCACAAGCATTTATTATGCCTTTTTAAGCCAACATACATACGGTGTGAAGTTACTGAGTTAACATGTGCTGCTGCACCAAACATCTCTTTTTGCCTACTTTAAAAACAATGTTTCACACTCCAGACCTCTCCACACAGCAAATTCCTGTCCTTGGGAAAACCAGGCTGTACATCAACTCTTGCAGCGGGATAAGGAAAAGCCACAAGCATTTATTATGCCTTTTTAAGCCAACATACATACGGTGTGAAGTTACTGAGTTAACATGTGCTGCTGCATCTCCACGAGGAATATCAGCATTTTTTTAGAAAATTCCATTTTCTACTTCCCAACTGGTCCCATGGCAACTGCTGGGGGGGAAATGCCAAATGTTGGCATTTGTGAGGAAATAAGTTGTTCTGTCCCTTCCTTGGTGGGAGGGAACAGTTGATGCTTATCCATGATCTCCAAAGGGAGATCATTGGGTTTTATACTTCATGTTCACCTGTTGAACCTGATGGGACCATCACAGGTTAAGGATGTATCTACCTGCAGAGTTGTCCCCCAGCAGCTTTTATCCATTAACACCAGGTGTGAACTCATATATTGTGGGTTCTACAACTATTCCACATGTGGTGTTAATCAGGCGTTAATGAGGGATAACCATTGCAACTGATGGGACCATCCCAGTGGAAGGATGTCCACCTGCAGCGTTATCCCCCAGCAGCTTTTCTTTACTAACACCAGGTGTGATCCCACATACTGTGGAACAACTGTTCCACACAAGGTGTTAACCAAGAGTTGATTGGGGATAACCATTGAATGTGATGGGACCATCCCAGTGAAAGGGTTTGCCTACCTTCATAGTCATCCTTGCCTACCTGCAGAGTCATCCCCCAGCAGCTTCTCTCCATTAACACCATGTGTGATACCACATATTGTGGAACGAACAAGCACTTCATACATGGTGTTAATCAAGGGTTGATGTGGGATAACCATTGAATGTGATAGGACCATCCCAGTGTAAGGGTTTGTCTACCTTGATAGTCATCCTTGTCCACCTGCATAGTTGTCCCCCCAGCAGCTTTTCTCCATTAACACCACATGTGAACCCACATATTGTGGAGCAACCATTCCACACGTGGTGTTAATCAAAGGTCAGTGGGAGATAACTCCATGTGTAAACTAGAAATGAGACTCAGATGTGGGATCTCCTCCATTGGTGATTGCCTGGTCACTGGTCTCCTCCTGCGGCGCTGGCAGCGCAGTCTTTGTCAGAGGTGTCTCAGTCTTGAAGAGAGAATCCATTTTGATCTGGGGTTTAATGTTGAAAGACTTCTGGAAAGACTCTGATGTGAAGTAGTAGATGAAAGGGTCAAAGCAGCAGTTCATTGTTGCAATGCACAATGTGATGGGATACATGGTCCTGGCAAACCTCTCCAAGGAGCAGTTTGCTATCGCTTGGGACCTCACCAGTGCATAGAGGAAGAGGATGGAGTTGTAAGGCACAAAGCACACAACAAAGATGGCCACGTGCACAATGATCATCTTGAGTACTTTCTCTTTGTTTGTCCCAATCTGGGACAGGGTGGCAGGTTTCCTCAGGGTCCGGAGAACCAAGGAGGAGCACGTGAGGTTGAGAAGCAAAGGGATGATGAATCCTACCACCTCAATAAATATAGTGATCTTGGACAGGTAGGTTTTCCAGATCCTCTTGGAAAACCCTTCGAAACAGGTGGTGCTGCTGTTGGAAATGTTGGTTGTGGAGAACAGTGAAGCTGAAATCCCACCACTGAGGACCAGGATCCAAACTCCAGCACAGACAATGGCAGAATTCCTCCTGGTCCTGATGGTGCGAGAGCGGAAGGGATAGACAATAGCAAGGAAGCGATCAACGCTAATGCAGGTGAGGAACAACATGCTCCCATAGATGTTGGTGAGGAATGCTGTGCCAGAAATCTTGCAGAGGCTGTCGCCAAAAGGCCAATGCCTGTTGAAGTTATAGAAGATTTTGAAGGGCAAAGTGAAGACAAAGAGAAGATCTGAAACAGCCAAGTTGGTCATGAAAATGGCAGTTTCACTGCGCATTCTCATCCGGAAGCAGAAGACAAAGAGAGAGGCACAGTTAGTAATCAGCCCAAGGATGAAGACCACACTGTACACAGCTCCATACAAGTTGTACTTAAAGGAATCATCTGTCAAACAGGTATGATTGTTGCTGTGGTTTCCCATGCCAAGTCTGGGATGTGCTTCCAAAGGTCTTCAAAGTCTACTTGAAGGACATCCATAAAATAAGGCACTGAGCTTGTCTTTGTCTGAAGGGAAACATTCCAGGGAGGTTGCTTGGCACCTTGCTATCACGTCTCCATTGTGGATCCTTTCATCCTGCAGGAGAGAGAGAGAATTGCCATCAGTCTGCAACCTGCCCAGTCCAGGGGGATGAGCACTGCCCTAGTCCTGCTGCCACACTCTGCTGCAGCCAGGACAAGGTGTCCTTGGCCTCCTTGGCCACCTGTGCACACTGTTGGCTCCCACTGAGCTGTGCCACCAGCACTTCCAAGGGCCTTGGGACAAACACCTCTGTCCCCACTGCTCCCCCAGCCTGGAGCTGCATGGGCTGTTGTGTCCCCAGGGCAGGACCAGCACTGAGCCTTACTGAACTTCAAAACATCTCAGTACATCTTGGAAATGTGGAGCAAAGTTGGATCACTAAGTGCAGGACCTTTGCCTTATAAACTAGAGCCAAGCAAATATGAAACAGAATTTGTAATCTTCTTGTAATCTAAGAAACTTCTTAGTAGCTACAGCTATGAGTCATTTAGAGACAAACCCTTTGTGAAGAGTAGGAACCTTTCCAGAGAGTGATCCTCTGTTGAATCATAGTTTCAACAGCAAACATGGCACTGGGTTATGTTTAAGATTGAAATGGCAACACATAACCAAATAAACTGGGGAAGAAAGTTGTGGAATTGGGACAACTTGGGATACAAATTATGAAAATCAGATGTTTTCCACATGTTTTCCTGCTGGAGAACCACAGGCTTCCCAAAAACCAGTACTGTGACCCAGGGAACAGGCAGCACCTCACAGGTTAGTTGGACATAAAGCAAAGTAGTAGTGAAGGAGGATTCCCAGATCTCCCTTCCCAGGTGACTTTTGAATGACTCAAACCCTTGGACATCCAAGGAGATAACTTGGAGCTATAAGGTCTCCCCTGTTGGGCTGAAAGATCTGTGAGGCCTTTTCCACTGTGAAGGATTCCATGGTTCCCTGCAGGCTGGGGCAGGGCAGTGCTGCTTTGGGCTGGGTTTGCTGTCATGCCTTGAACCAGAACCAGAACACCCTGTGGTTTTCATAGGTGTCTTTGGTACATGATCTTCACCCAATTTAGCAGATTCTCCCTCCCTTTTAGTTTCAGTTTGAGTTGCACATGGGGGAAGACATCCTGTCCAGTCAAACCAGGAGTAGGTATGCCCTTAGAATCATTAAGATTGGAAGAGACCTCCAAGACTGAGTCCAGTTTTGGTTGCTATGGATTGTGTGGCAATGACAGAGGGGACAAATCCCACCTTGGGGCTTTTCCCATAGCACACCTAAACAGGGACCTCACTGTGCAACTCTACAGGGTTTTGGGGACAGATGGGAAGAGTAGGGGACAGGCTCTGTAGGGGAGGAAAATATTCCTTGAACTCTTTTGTTTTGCACTCATCCAGGTGTTTTTCCCACTAAATTCATGGCTAAATGAACTTTGTGGTGAAACAGCCTAAAAAAAAAGACATCAAACATTTCAATTTATGAGAAGGGTGTTAGTAAAAACTCCAATCCGCACTTTCTTGGGTCTGTGGGAGTCTAAATAAGGAAAGGTCTTGCCTGTGACTTAAAATGCCTTTAAGCAAGAACAGAGTTGGATTGAAAAGTGCACATGAGCTCCAAGAGGAATTGCTGTGCCTCTCAGCTTAACCCTCACCCTCAAGCATTACATTCTTGGCTTGGAACTCCCTTTCAGTAAGGAAAGAAATTTCATGTTGTCTCCAGCAGAAACAATGTTTGTTTGTGCTGAAATGTGACCTCTCTAAGTGTGTGAAAACCAGGTGTGTCAGATCCTCCTGGACCAGGTTTCGTGTCTGGGGAGGTTTGGGTCTCCTTGGAAACCTCATCTAGCCTGGGAGGTAGATGGAAATCCAACATTCCAATCTGTCCAGGAGTTTGGCAGCAGGTTTGAAAGGTGCCTATGAACCTCTTGCCTTTCCTACTGACAAGGGGTTGTTGCCAGCAGCCTGAGCCAGTGCTCCTTCCACAGGAGGAAAGATGCTCCATGACTTGATTCTGTTCTTCCTGCTATGCACCACAAGCCACAAAGACAAATCTATTTTGTCTGGTGTAGAATCATGGAGCTAACCCAGTTGGAGCTGTCACTAGTGCTGTTCCCCAGGGCTCAGTGTTGGGGCAGGTCCTGTTTGATATCTTTACTGATGGTCTGGACCTGGAGAGTGAGTGACCCTCAGGGAATTTGCAAAGGACAGTGAGCTGGGTGGGAGTGTGGATCTGTCCGAGGGTAGGAAAGCTCTACAGAGAGACCTGGACAGACCTGATCAGTGGCTGAGGACAAGTGCAGGAGGGTCACCAAGGCTCAGTGCTGGTCCTGCCCTGGGGACACAGCAGCCCATGCAGTTCCAGGCTAGGGGAGCAGTGGGGACAGAGGTGTTTGTCCCAAAGGCCTTGGCAGTGCTGGTGGCACAGCTCAGTGAGAGCCAACAGTGTGCACAGGTGGCCAAGGAGGCCAAGGGCATCTTGGCCTGGCTGCAGCAGAGTGTGGTAGCAGCACTAGGGCAGTGCTCATCCCTCCTTCAATCCACTTTCATTATGCAAAGGACTTAACAAAAGGTTTTGTGAGGAGGAAGATATTTGGCTTTTGGGGAGATTTTTGCATAGATAATGATCCTGTATGAGGCTGTAGGACTTGGGTCCTTCCAGGCTGATAGGAGAACTATAGGAAAGTGAGATAAACAGCAACTGCTTGAATAGATAAAACCAGAACTATTAAATGATAAAAAAACTGTTTCTACTTGAAGAATTTAAGATTCCTTAGTTCCTGCAATTGGATTTCCACTCACTCAGACTTTGTTTTCAGTAGATGCTTCACTAGTCATTTTTGGTTGCAGAGAACTCTGAGAGCATAAATTGAAAGCGATTTTAGGGACAAAACTCCAATTTGGGGCAATTTGGTGGCTGCTTTTTCCCAGTTTGAGGCTGTCAGGACAGTAACTGTGCTAGACAGTGGTGATGGCTCAGTTTCCCAGTGCCAGCAGTGTAGGCTTAGGGAAATCCAGAGCAAGTGTCGCTGGACCCAGAAGGGAAATGTCTTGGGATGGGAAGTGCCTTAGGACACCGATTTGGGGGTTGGCTCTCAAACCAAGCACCTTGCTGAGAGTCTGAGCTCTCCATCCTCCCCAGAGCTCCTTGCAGCTTCCCAGCAAGGCGAAGCTCTTTCCATGGTGCAGCAGGAGCAGGGAAAGGGAGGGATTAGAGGGGTGGGAAGCAGCGCAGCTGCCTGTAAACAAAGCTCTATTGACCATCCCAAGCGATGGGAAGGAGAAACGCTTTAATCTCTTTCATCTCCTAATCCTAAATGATGTATTGGAGAACAGTAGGAAAGGAGTAGACAGGAGTTCGACTTTGAAGGTCTGTGTGGCTTCAAAGAGCTATTCTTCCCGGGATGCTGGGGAAAGGAGATGTTTGTGGATGATTAGCATAAAGACAAGGCAGGAAGGCTCTTATTCATGGCTTTGACACTCATTGTGTAAGGGACTCGAGTCTACTTCGTCCTGACCCTCCGCACTGTGTGCTGGAGGTGGAACCACCTCTCCATACCTGGTGGGAGGGAGAAATGGTGAGTGACTCGCGATCGTTTCAGTCAGGTTTCACCAATCATCTTTGATAGAAAAAAAAAGCTCAAAATATAGGACACTGTAAGGCTTGTCCTGCACTCAGCCACCGAGAGTGAGGCCAGGGAGTCCTGGGATGAGGTGGGAGAGCACCTGATCCCAGGGGATGGAAAAGCACAGCTCCCTGTTTCTAGGTTAACCCTTTGGAATCACAGAGTGAATTCCTTCTGTGGCTTTGCACGAATTGACAGCTTCATACAACCCTAGAATGCACAGAAAGGAAAAGAAACTTGTCTCAGATGACACTGGTTACAGCTTTGGACCATTTGCACTCTCCTCTTACCACAGATTACCTTCAAGTAGTTCTGTTACTTTGCCCTTAGTTCAAAGCTCTTCATTACAAAATTAGCAGATGGTGTTAATTGTTGCAGAGTTAACAAGGGAACTAAAAGAATTTAGTTAATCTAAGACCAACTGTCTGAGGAAGTCTCAAAGGGGCAGTTGTAAGGGATCTTGGACAAGAATCCACCCAAGGACATCAATTCTCACACCTGGGACTGGTTGGGACTAGATGATCTGTAAGGTCCATTCCAACCCCTGAAATTCTAGGATAGAACAGGAGTGCAGAGGAGCCAGCAGAAGTCAACCAAGACCAAGAGAAGGAACTTTATGATCTGCAAACAAGGTAAGGAGCTAAGCCAAGACCATACTTGGAAGGAAGGCTCAAAGTTCATGGAAAGGACACTCATGGACATCTTTTCAACAACCACAAGGGACCACCAGAGACCATCCAAAACCTCCAGGGAAGATCCACCAGAAGCCACTGACTCAGAGGGGTTTAGGGTTGGACTGATGATCTTTGAGGTCTTTTCCAAGCTGACTGATTCTATGAAAAGAGACTAATTAGCATAAGAAGGGAGAGAATCACTAAGCAATAGAGGATAGAATACTAATGAGGTGGTTAGGTAACTTGTGAGTAATGAGCACTAATTTCTTTGCTTTCTGAAATGTATAACTAGTAGAAAGTTTGGCTAGTTGGGATGCAGCTTGGAGGAGCATCCCCCGTGCATCCAGCACCTCCCTGCCTGGGGTGGCCTTGGTCCTTGGGGAACCTTCAAGTTCAACCCAACTTTGTGTTGGGAACGAATTGCTGCAGGATCCCAACTGAATTCTTCTCCAGGCTGGAGGAAACCTGAGCCTGTCTGAGCAAACCTTCAAGGCTCCCTCCCTTTTTTTCTCCTTGCCCTTTTCTTGGTGGTTTTAATTGCTCAGCACTGCTGTTGTCTCCTCACTGTCCTCGGAGACTTACAAAGCATTTCCTGCTCGTGGTGCCTTCTCTGGGCTGGATCTGGTTTGGATTGAGCTAATTAAAATGTTTCCTTCAGCAGAGAATAGTGAACTGCCTTACCCCAGATTGAGCCACTGAACCTCAGGGCATGACTCTCTTTTTGTTTGCACTGAGAATGTCTCTCTCCATTTACATCACCCTTTAAC